GACCATAGTTTTATACTCAGTGCTCATGCCCCTATACCATGCAAAAAACCATTCTCAAAAAGCGTCCCACGCCCTGAAAGACCTTCCTTGTAAGTCCAATTTGACATTTTTTGTATGAGCCCGCCCCCTGGTCCTGCCATCCACCTAACACTCTAGGTTCACGGGAGCAGGAGTTCTGAACTTCCGGTCAAACACACACATATACACACATACACACATACGTACATACACACGCAGAGACAACCAACAGACACACTTAATAGTTAATTCCTTCCTTATTTCCCTTCTACCCCACCCAATCCCGATTTTTGCTCCCACCACCCTTCAACCCTCACGAGTTCCGACTTGAGCCCAGTCTCAATTAATCCAGCAGTGTGAAGCATTCAGCTTTCGCATACAACTGCTCAAGCTTACTAAGTGAACAGATATTAAGAGGTTCTTATGTACCGATGGCTAACAGCTTCTGCAGCTGGATTATTACATCGATCTGCTCCTACTATTCAAGCGGATGGAGTACGTCTAGTTACAAGCACTCACCATAGCATTGGAAGAATTAACTATCCTTGGTATGAGAGGGGAGAGTGCTTTTTATCTTTACCTAGGGTGACAAAAATGTTTCGATTGCAGTTCATTCGTCGTTTGATTCGGAAGCGGGTTTTGTGCTTATATTTTGTCCTTCTCAATGAAATGAAAGTGCGATTACATCACGTACATGTTGCCCTATAAAACGCTGAGGTTTCTTCAGTGCCTTTAATTCACAAACCTGTTTAATCAATTAACTCAGATTAGAAGTCAGAGGTGAAAAATTTTGAACGTGCACCCATGGAAAAGTAAGGCCCACAACTGAAAAAACGCTGAAGACACGATCAAAGACTCTGAAGTGCATATGATACAGCTTCAGAAATGTTTCATCAGATGGGAATGAAGTTAACAACTGTACAGAGAGTCGGTTTTGAGCACGGCTCTACCACATCACCCAAGTTTAAGGCGAAATATGGACC